CTCACTGCCTGCGTGTCTGTGGGTGCGTATGGTTTGAATCTGCAGTAAAGACTGGTAATTTTGTTTGTATCTAGTCTTGACCATGCATGTCGTCGCGCACCAATTCGACTATTTTCACATGTACTGCCTCATCGACCAAGGATCTACGGCGACAGCGGCACCAGCGACCCCATGGAGGCGGCACCGAAACCCTAGCTGCTACTGCTCTCCCCTGAGTCCCCTCCTCATCTCCTCCCTCATGCGGTGTCTGCTCTCTCTCTCTCTCTCTCTCTCTCTCTCTCTCTCTCTCTCTAATTTTAATCTGACTCCATCTTGGGGTGCTACTGTGCGTGCAATACATGCTCTGCTTGGTCTTCTTTTCTTAGACATCCCTCGATCAGTTAAGTTGGACAAGCAAAAAATCTTACATATCTCAGCTTTGTCAATTAAGCTCATTTGATTGATGTCTTTATCTTCACAAGTCTTGCTGAACCTTGAGATAGGCAAAAACATTCAGTTCAGAGCCTGATAGTTTGTTGCTATAATAATAATATCTACACTTCTACATTACCAATTGCCGTCTGGAGATTCAAATTCAAATATGAAAACTATATAGGATTTTCAATTCTTTGGGAATGTTACTACATACTTTTTTACATGCTTCTCTCTGAGGCTAATTTTAATCTCACACCATCCTGGGTGGTACTATGTGTGTTGTACATGCTCTGTTTCATCTTCTTTTCTCAAACCTCCACGAGTCAAATTCGACCGGGAAAAAGAAACACCTGCATACATATCATCGGGTAGTGGCCCGACAAAATGTTACATATATCACTTTTGTCATTTAAGCCCATTTGATGTCATCTTCATAACTCTGTCTATCTCCAGCTATGGTGTGGAATATTAACTGGGGATTTTGACATGCAGATGTTCAAGCTGGAGGATGTGGCGATGGAATATGGTTCAATGAGATGAAGAAAGGTGTTGATGTCAAGTACGAGAATGATGGAAGGATCTTGTGGTTATCTAGTTGCCCACCAGCAGGAGTCAGTGTAGATGATGTGCCTCTAGGGCAAATTCTAGAAAACAAAGCGACTCATTTTTGCTCTCAAAGAATGAACATATTTTTTCCCTATTTAATAAGTTAAATTAGTTTATGGGAAATTTGGATGTGAAAATTAATGAATGTGTGTTATTATTGTTTGGTTTTGGTTTAGTATTGTTGGACGACATGCACGTTATTGTAATGATTTGGTTAACTTGATTGATATTCTGTTGATAATGTGAAATCCAGCTATATGGCATGGCTGGCTGACGTTGGTTGGCAAAACAAACCCCATCATACAGTTGGTCGGGAAAAACTAATGCGAGGTCCAACAGAATGTTGGTCGGCAAAGAATGCCATGTCTCATAGTCGGTCGGGAAAGGCCCATGACAGCCCCAACGGATTGTTGGTCGGGAAAGAATACTCTGACCGATAGTCGGTCGGGAAAGGCCCATGGCAGCGCCAATAGACTGTTGGTCGGGAAAGGTCCATGGTAGGCCCAGTAGAATGTCGATCGGGAAAGAAGCTCCATAGCCGACAAACAGTCGGTCGGGAAAACTATGTCGGTCGGGAAAGGGCTTTCCCGCCTGGCCTTTCCCCAACAGACGAGATCGGTCGGCAATAGTCTTTCCCGACCGATCGTCTGTTGGTAGACGTTGTATTCCTGACCAATCTAGTTGTCAGGGATGTAGTGTTGTGGTGTAGTGTTGTGTCCTCCAACCCAGGCACGACCCAACTAATAAACGGTCGGGCCGTGGCATGTTTAGCACCCTAGCTTGCATATCTTTCGGCCTCTTGGGCTGTTTTCTTAGCTTATTAGGTTGTATTTTAGTAGAGCTCCTATGCGCCGCTCGTTGCGGTGAATTGTCGAGCGGACGCACAGGCGCATCACCAGCTGGGCCGGCCCATTAGCGCAACACAGTGAAAAAATCCCAAAAAACTCTGCTCGAGGGAGGGATCAAACCAGCGACCTCCATCTTTGTACGCACGAGCAGAGCCAACGCGACAGACAGGCTTTCTTGGTTTGCCATGGCACGCGAAGCTAAATGTAATGGAGATCCGAACATTTTCTCAAATTCCTAATGCGATAATTATTTTGAAAAAGTTTTTCTTAAAAAGCGAACACTTTCCAAATTTTAGAAGAAAAACTAAAAAGCTAGAACAAAGTTTTGATAAAATGAACACTTTTTAAAATCCCAAACATTTTTTGAATTTAGAGAACAAAATTTTGAAATTGAGAACAAAATTTGAACATGAACATTTTTTAAAGCATGAAATTTTATTTAATCTTGAGAACAAATTTTGAAGCGGACAACAAATTTTGAAGCGCGGATTTTTTTAAAGCATGGACATTTTTCTGAATAGTGAGAATTTTGTTAAAAACATAGAACAAATTTGGAAGCACGGACAATTTCTTACAGCATGGACATTTTTTGAATATTGAGAACAAATTTTGAAATGAAGAACAAATTTGAAAAATCCCGAACAAATTTGAAGCGCGAACAATTTTTGAAAACGTGAACAAAAACAATTGAAGTCTGGTACATTATATTAATTTCGAAAGTTTTGAACTTTTATTTATAACAAGAACACTTTTTGAATTTTGAGAACAATTTTAAAAAATTGAACATTTTATGGAAAGGCAAACAAAATTTGAATATTATGAAAAAAGAGAAAAGCAAAAGAAAATGAAATAAGAAACCAAAGAAAGAAAACAAACAGAAAAAACCAAAAAGAAGAAAAGAAAAAAGAAACAGAAAGGAATTTGAAAATCTGAAGAACAAAAAGGAAATAGAAAGAGAAGAAAAAGGAATTGAAAAAATGAAATAAAGAAACAGAAAAATAAAGAAAGAAGAAAAAAAGAGAAAGAAAAAAGAAACAGAAAAAGAAAAAACCAGTGAAAAACCGGTTCGAGAACCTTCTGGAAGGTTCCCGAAACCAGTCAGGAACCTTGCAGAAAGTACGCAAAACCAGATACTTTGCGCCGGGCCATCTGGATCGCCTCTGTGCGTTCGCTCCACATTCTGCTGCAATGAAAGGCTCGCTGCGTCAAATAGTTGAGCAATCGCACAGGCGGACTTCCCTATTGGGCCGGCCCATATAGCAAGCGATGCAGAGTAGCGAGATGTATCACTGCAGAGAGTAGGCTACTGTACCAGACGGGCTTTGTATGTTCAGTGTCCTGTAGCAACCGAGTTTTAGTGGTTTAAAAATTTAAAACTTTTTTAATAAAATGAATATTTCTTGAGAACGTAAACAATTTTAGAAATTTCTGAACATTTTTTGAAATTCCATACAGTTTTTAAATTGGGAACGTTTTTTGAGACCTATAAACATTTTTCTTAGATCCAAACTTTTCATTAAAAAGCAAAACAATTATGAAACTCCCGAACAAAAATTGACACACAAACATATTTTTGGAATTTGTGAACAATTCTTTAAATGGAAACATTTTTTGAAACTCCCAAAAAAATCGAAAGCATGAACATTTTTTGGAAATTGGCGAACAAATTATGAAAACGGAACATTTTTGAAACTCTTAAATACAATTTGAAAAGTTGAACATTTTTTGAACTTATGAATTTGCGAACACTTTTTTTATAATATGCGAACATTTTTTCAAAAATGAAGAACATTTTTTTCGAAACTGAAGAACATTTTTTATATTTGTGAACAAATATTAATAACAATAACAGTTTTTGAACTTCTAAACACTTTTATAATTTTAGAAAAGAATTTGAAATTCTTAAGAACAAAAAGAAAATAAAAAAAAGAAGAAAAAAGAATTCAAACATGAAATAAAGAAATTGGAAACCGAAGAAAGAAAAAGAAACAGAAAGAGAAAATCTAGTGAAAAAACCGATTCAAGAAGCATCTAGAAGGTTCCCAAAACTGGTCATGAATTTCCAGAATGTTCCCAAAACTGGACACTGTAGCACGTGGGAAATCTCGTAATTGGGTCCTCCCATCTTAATGGCTAGGTCGCTCGCCTCTGTGCGAAGCAGCGGCAACTTGACGCAACGAGCGTCCGTTAGGATTTCCCGTATTTTAGAACATATACATTAAAAATTAAAAAAAAGTTAATTAATAAATAAATAAACGGGCAGCCGCCTACTCGCCTCTGCTTGGTTTATCCACGCATTCGCTTCCTGCCAGCCCTGCACAACTTGGACAAGTGGAAGATGGAAGACAATGGGTTGGCATGCCAAGCAAAAGCAAAGGTCACAATGAATTTCCTCCTCCTCAACGCCAAATGCCAATCATACTAATTAGAGGGTCAGTGGATGCATTTCGAAGCTCGGCAAACTCCTTCCTTGCTCAACTTTCCCACATGTTCATGATGATAATTATGGCCAGCAGACGCCGTCCTTGACGTAGTTATCATCGTCGCCGTCCCTACAACCACCTTGGAGGCCGCGGGGCCGCTGTGGCAACCTTGTCCGCCCGCTCCACTTCATCCTGCGTGGTGTAGAGTGCCGATGCAGCTAATGCCGACGTCACCCGTAGAGCCCTAGCGGCGACCTTGCCCCCGCCGGCATTGGTAAAGGAGTCCCTAAGCGACCACGCCTCACTGATATTCGCGAGCTCGTCGTCAACGAGGCCATCTCCGAAGCGGTGACGGAGCGGTCAAGGGCCTAGGCGACGTCCGATTTGGCGGAGCGACATGCAATGTTGCGCCACTCGTACCACGCCGCCTCCTCATCGCTCGGTCCTTGGTGGACAAGACAGCCCATGAGCCCAAGGGAGAACTTCCATCGCCACCACTGAGGTAGTGGAGGATGCAGCTGCATGCCTTGTCGATCGTGGGCGGCAGTTCATCGTTGATGAACTGGCCATGCCGGTTGTGGTGGGGCGGCGAAGATGGCAGGGGCCGAGCCAGAAAATTTGGCCATTGGGTTCACTCCATTAGTGGTTGTGTGAACTTACTACTAGTATGTGAAGTGTAAAGTGTAATTTCAAATTATCTTACAACAAAATTATAGCACTCAGAAACAACACATAATGAATAGAAATATTGTATCATATATCACACATTGTGTTGCATTAAAAACTAAAGAGTGCAAGACATACCCGTTCAAATAAAATTATAAAATCACTTGTTTACATATTACAAGTAGAGTAGTATAAGATAACTTTGTAGCTCCATGTGTAGCTTCTCATCTTCCTTGAAGACATAAAAAACGACAAGTTTTGTTTGACAAGTTTAGAATAAGTACTAACAAGAGAAATAATATTGTAAAGGCACTCACATTTTAGACTGTCCCCTTTCGATCTTTCATCGTCTTAAAAAGATTAAACACTGCATCATTGGTAATGGTAGAAAATATATCTTTCTCCACATAGCAGATTAGACAATCACTCATGAATTGATCACCCATTTTGTAGTGTAACTTTTTTTTACAACATTCATAGCTGAAAAACATCTCTCCACTAATGCTGTGGCAACTGGCAACATTAGTCCTAGCTTTAAAAGATGATAAACCAAAGAAAACGTAATATGCTTATTTGTTTCTGTTGGGGAACGTTGCAGAAAATTAAAAATTTTCCTACGGTTTCACCAAGATCCATCTATGAGTTCATCTAAGCAACGAGTCAAGGGAGTGAGTTTGCATCTACATACCACTTGTAGATCGAGTGCGGAAGCGTTCAAGGGGATGGTGATGATGGAGTCGTACTCGCCGTGATTCGGATCACCGATGACCAAGTGCTGAACGGACAACACCTCCGCGTTCAACACACGTACGGGACGGACGACGTCTTCTCCGTCTTGATCCAGCAAGGAGGAATGAGAGGTTGAGGAAGGCAGCTCCAACGACAGCATGACGGCGTGGTGTAGTTGGTGCAGCAGCACTCCGACAGGGCTTCGCCAAGCACGTACGGAGGAGGAGAGGTGTTGGGGAGGGGAGGGGCTGCGCCTTGAGTTGTGTCTAGCAGCCCTCCCCTCACCCCTCTATTTATAGGGGGAGGGGCAAGGGGGGCCAACCCCTCTAGATGGGATCTAGAGGGGGGGCGGCGGCCAGGGAGGGGAGGCTTGCCCCCCAAGCAAGGGGGGCGCCCCCCTTAGGGTTTCCCCCAAACCCTAGGCGCATGGGCCCAAGGTGGGGGGGGGGGGCGCCCAGCCCTCCAGGGGCTGGCTCCCTGCCCCTTGCGGCCCATGTGGCCCTCCGGGAGGGGTGGCCCCTCCCGGTGGACCCTCGGAACCCCTTCGGTGGCCCCGGTACAATACCGATAGGACCCCGAATTCTTCCGGTGTCTGTATGACAACTTCCCATATATAAAACTTCACCTCCGAACCATTTCGGAACTCCTCGTGACGTCCGGGATCTCATACGGGACTCCGAACAACTTTCGGTAATCACATACAAGTCTTCCTAATAACCCTAGCGTCACCGAACCTTAAGTGTGTAGACCCTATGGGTTCGGGAGACATGCAGA